AATTACCCCAATGTCTTGGGTATCCACAGCTAAGTTTATTGTATAAGACTTGGTCAAAACATGAATATATTTTTCCTCTTCCCTTCATCATTCGAATTATGGAATCCTTTTGTGCAGATGAGTACACATTGTGATTTATTGTTTTTACACACTATGTCACCTATATATAAAAGTTTGCCCATGACATTAGAAATGGTCCTTTGGGCGCTGAGAATATTGTGTATTTTGAGCACATTTTGCTCAAGACGAATGATGGTTTTATATTAGTGACCATCAGTCACAATATGAAGAAATTGGATTAGTAATAATGACATAAGTGAAAAATGTTTTATTGTAGATTTGTGGTAGTGTGGTCCTTTAATTATTGTCTTGTGGAAACTCTCAAGGATTTGTAGCTTAAATAATAACTCATAAAACAAAACGTGCCATCATAAATGTGCTGGGGTTGCATTTCATGTAGGAAGCTGCTGTTTTGATGAATTGCAGATGTTACAGATTTGAGTTTTTATCTTCACATTTCACTATTTCCCCTATACTGAGTAATCTAAACTGGATTGGCATTTAGAATTTACATAATTCCAACCGGACTGACACAGCTACAAGAATCTATTTCATGCCTGAGTTATTATTTCTTTTGGAGTTCTTTAGAAACAGTCAGCATAATTTGATGTGCTGTTTTAGTCTGAAGGAAATGTGTGCAAAAGCTAAATGTATACTTTGTAGATGAAATATGACATACAGGATATAATAAATAAAAAAATATGCATTTTTATTTTGTGCATCATAATAATTGTGTATGTAATTTTAGAAATTCTTGCTAACGGAATTGTGAAAATTAATATACCATTTTATTTCATGTCTTTATTTTATTTTTTTGTTAATTTTTTAAGGTACATAACTTAGAATGGCTTCAAGCTGGTCACTGGCAACCTGAGCGGGGACTAACTGAAGGGCAAGCTACTGAGTTTTTCTAAATTTTTGACATGGTGTACCAATATTGTGCAAATACCCCAATAATATTTGCACTGCAGCAAAAACCTTTTAATGAGCAGAGTGTAATGTTTTCTTTTTTGGGGCAAATTCTTTGAAAATCTGGTTTAATTGTTGACAATTGTATTCACATGTCTGCTGGTGTATCAAGTCGGTTTCTATACTTCGTTTTGGTTGCAGAGTAAAGAAAGAATTTAGTTTCACACAAGTACGTGCTGGTAAATGGCCACATAACCTGAAGTGATTGCCTGCTGCAACAACCCCAAAAAGTAATAAGAGATACATCATGAAGTTGTTGGGTTAGCTGACAGTCAGCGGTTATATCGATCAGATTCTCAAAATCTACGACAGAAAAACTGTCTGGTTTGTCTCATATGAATGGATTTTGAACCCAGTCATTTTTCTTTTCATTCAAAAATTGAAAATACTGATTAATAGACGTATGTAAATTACGAAGATGATCTACAATTTCATTGCGAATTTAATCTTTGAGTCCAATTTCTGTTTCCTCAAAAAAAACCTATGTGTTTTTTCCTTGAAGTGATAAACGTACTTCATTCAATTTTGTGAACATGTCCACAGGATGTGCTGTTTTAGATAAACACAAAATGTTTGTTAAATGATCAGAAAATCCAAATGTATGATCCTGGAAATATGCTATTCACACATTCAAGCATTCTAACAATGACTTTCCCTCATGAAAGCCAACGGACTTCTGAATGCAAAAGCAGGGCAGGGTGATGACTACCCATATCTTCATATATATTTTTAAATAATCGTGACTTTAATGGTTAACTTTTATAACATTAACAATCTGAATTGATTTGTCTAGCACAGTTTTAAGTGAGATTAAAATACTTTAGCTACCAATGCATGTCTGTGAAAAACATAGTAAAAAATAATGCAGTTTTTTGTTCCAATTCTTATTTGTGTCACAGCTCCTGCCACATTTCCAACCATTGCTTTGGTGCCATCACTGTACACTTCTACACATTTGTCATACTTTATACTGTGTGTGTTTTAAACCTTAGGACGCAGTTAAAGATATTCTCACCAGTGGTATGAGTTTGTAAAGTTTCACATAGAAGCAACTCTTCTTCAATCTGCATGTCAAAATTGTATCTTACATTAAAAAACAGCAAACGTGAAAGTCCTGCAACATCTGAGAATTTTTCTAAATGCAGTGAGTACCAATCACATTGATGCAGCCGAAAAACGAGTTCTGTCTGGATATCATCAGCAAGATCACGATTATGATGCAAAACAGTGTAGATGGAAAGTGGCACAGCTTCAATTATTTTACACAACATTTCATTTAAAATACATGATACTATTTCTTTTACACATGATTTTATTAGTGACTCCCCAATTGTGTGGGGATAGCTTTCTCTGTAAGAAGCCTCTGTGGCTTTTTTATTTTTTTTTTTACATTTTTTTCATGAACTGTTTAGTCTTCTGATATTTTTGAATATTCACTTAAAATAGGCAATGTCTTTATCTTTGTATTCTGCGTAGTTCTGCTCAAAATTACTACATAATTTAGCAACTGCAACAGATTGGCAATATTTTCTTACAAAGTAAGCAGTGTGCTTCAGTACAATCTTCATTTTTCATTTCTTTGTTTGAGAAGAAGATTGGCCGCATTGTGTGCTTTTCTTTTTTTCCGACTTATCACTTGTCTCTGCTATTTGAGGAACAGTAGATTTAACTGTTTTGGACCTGTTTTCTTGATTTCTTTTTGTATCTTATTTCTCAGTTTCTAGAAATGCTGAACAATTAGAAGTAGTAATATTTTTTCTTTTGATAGTTCCTTCTTTTAACAAGCTGTCTAAATTCATGGTGGTTGGTTGGGAAAAAAAAGAACACTTTTAAAAATACAGATTTCACTACCTGACAAAAAAAGAATGCTGTTTTGTTCTCAACTCTTAGTAAGCAAATACTGTAAGCAGGATTCTGGCTGAGTTTTGGAGTGAAAAGAACATTTCTTTAAGCTAGAAAAATACACATTTAACTACCTGACTAAAAAGGATGCTATTTTGTTCTCGGCTCTTAGTAAGCAAGTAAAGCACCCTTGCTTTTTGGGACGGTATTGAAGCAAAATGCATTGTTGTATAACATAACTTCAAAGTAAACATTTTTAAAATGTTGGTATATATTCACTGATTTCTACAGTTAGTAAACAGATCGTTGTACTTAGGTGCCGAATGTTTATTTTTATGTTTTATTAAAAAAAAGTAAATTAGGGCAAAAGTGTGATACAAATATTTTGAGCAGCACAGCTACACCTTGCTGACGAGGTCCAAAGAAGGCATTTCTGTTCTGGACTGCCATTATTGGTGGAATCAGTCTGTTGTGAAAATGGTATAGGTTCTCTTTGTACTGGGACAAGTGAGCCAAAAACATTTTTGAACTGGGCACTAACCAAATGGCAAGTTACTGAGCTTCTCTAAGCTTTAGCCCCTTCTCAGCATTCTCACCTTCTCTGTCTTTGTAGCAACGCATTAGCTTGGGCTCTCTCTAAGCTTATCCAGATGTGGACCATATGTGCTCTATGCCAAAAGGGGTTATCAGCTACATCATGCTGATGAGGCCTAAAGAAGACCATAATGATTACTGTGTCTCTCGTGCAGAAAGAACTTGCTGGCATTTTGGTTATGGACTGTCGTTATGGGTGGGATCAGTCTGATAAGTAAGTTTAGGTTTTCTTTATAATGGTACAAAAGACCAGAGACCTGAGCAGAGACTAACTGAAGGGCAAGCTACTGAGTTTGCCCATTGTCATATTCATATTCTCACAAACCTCATTTCCATTGAAAAAGCTCCATAATTAAATGAGAACATTCATATCAACACTAGACACATGTACTTTGATATCGGCGTGTTCCACTATTAATATACATATTTTGACTATCTAAACCATTAATAAATAGTTAGCACTAGCATTTAGTTATCTAACCACAAGTTTTTTTTGTATTCACATTTTCACATTAAGTCCGTTGCTAGGCATCAAGTGCTTCTGATTACTACACTCTGCAGACTAAAAACCAATAGTTCAATTCACAGTCTGTAAAATATTTAGGACAAAATCTGTATAACTGGAAATTTTATGCAACATGGCTAATTTGACCTCAATTATATGAACTGGATTGTCAACTCAACACAGCTAGTGTATAGTAAAATAAAAAAAGGCTCTTTAAAAGAAACTTTAGTTTAATGTTTTACTTTAGTGAGTTTTAAGATTTCATAACAGATTTTTCTTTAATATGTGTTAAACGCTGCACTGCAATGAATTCTATTTTTATGCAATGTTACATGGAAGAACTCCAAGAACGAGAAGGTATTATTTTGATCCTCCTTTTATGGTAATTGTTCAGAGTTAAAATAAAATCCATCTAGGTTAAACAGATTATATTCTAAATCTCTTTCTTAAAAGACCTACAAAAATTGACCTCCAGACCAAAGAAGTACATGAGCAATGAAGCAAACTACCTTAACACATTTATAAATCTCCATGTACAAAATTGTATACAGAGTATTTTCAGAGTTAGTAATTGCTATGTTATATATTCAACAATATTTCAATTCAGCAAGATCCATACGTTTTCCATTACTCCGGAGCTAAGAATTATTTATTTTGTTGGGAAGTTCATTGAAATGAAGGCTGGACAATAATTGTTTTGTTGAACTATTACAAACAAACAAACAGCCTTCAACTCATTTTTGACAGGTCATTTTCACAGAAAAATGCTAATTTAAAAAATACACATTGTGTTCTCTGTTGAGAACCACGTGTATCCAGATCTAATCAGAATTTTCTATTCTGAAACATAAAAACTAACTCAAATTCAAGTGAAATTGTCACCACTTGTGCTGTCTGTGCTGTAAGTTATAATTCCAATAGAAGAATTAATTAAAAATGCAATTGTGTATTGTTAAATAATTTAGTTTCTTTATGAATCTCTAAACTGCAGTATAATTGTTGTTTCATTTATAATTATATGTAATCAATGCATTGCATGTTTCAACTGGAAAAGCTATAATTTCTGGGGAAATTGTGTGAAGTGTTCTTGCCTCCACCAGTAGTCTACAACTGGAGTGGGCGGAGTAACTGGGTGGAGTGGCTTGAGTAACTGTTGTGTGGTTGGAGTGGCTGGAGTAACTGTGGAAAGGTTGCACTGGGCAGAGTAACTTTATGAAACATTGATTAGCTGTGTTGTTGTTACATTGTATGTTACTGTTTTTCTGTTACAGGTATAACGAATTGACTAACATAGAAATATATTTATTAAATATGATAGTGCTCACTTTTGTGTTATCAAAACTGTAGGAATGACAGCAGTTTAGAGAATGTGTTCAATCTAGCATCTAGCCTCTTTCTTCCGGAACACTCTGCTGGCTGCTCACACACCTGGGTTCCTATGGCAACTCACTCTACAGCAAGGGCAGAAAAGAGCGGTTAAAAACAAATTGCTCACTTCACTGGCGGTTGCTATCTTCAAATGGTCGTAGTTTTAAAAACTCTAAATCCTACAGTGAAGAGCTTTATATTGTGAGTATCACAAGACCCAGACCTACATTTTGATGCATAGTATATCTCTGAAATATTAAAAATGAAGGCACAGTCGCAGTTTAGAAATTGCCCTTCAAATTTGAGGTGGCTAGAGTGGAATTTCAATGAATCTCAATGGACGGCATGAGTTGCAAACAAATGGTTATATTGTGAAAACTATCAGGACTATGGCTTAGCCATTGACATTTTTAGTGGCAGCAGGAATAGCTGAACGTTTTCATATACAATTTGTGGAGGTGGGTTTGAAAATGAGGGAGTGGTGGCAGTTTAGAAATCATGTCCTGATTTGTCAACTCCCACTTTAGCTTTGAACATTCCACCATCTATTCCTATGGGACCAATTTCGCCACAAAAACAACGATATCTCTCGAACCATTCTGCGAAACGTTCCACAAAATAATAGCACACCGATTGGGAACAATCCGCACGTTTCGGTATATTACTGTCTATGTAGTATAAAAACTGTGGGAGGAGTTAGGGTGGTAAATTTGACTATAATAATAATAATAATAATATATATATGTGAGATAATAGTAAGTGGTCTTGCCATGCAAGAACACTTAATTAATTGCTATCAAGAACAATGAATATCACTTAGCAGTGAAGTTTTACATGGAATTAAATAGAAAATCAATTTACAAATCTAAAAAATGTCACGTGTTAAAGAGTGTTATGGTGTTATGCAGCTTATTTAGAATAAGACCCCCCAAAGGAATAAAATAAAAAGTTCTACATACCTTTAGTAATTAGGTGCAGGTCTTGTTGCAGCTCACTCCTCCTTCCAATACTTATGATTTCAGCCAATCCATCGCATCCCCTTGAGGAAGCATTGGAGGCTAATGTACATACATGGCAATCGCCACCCTGCATTAATCATTAATTCTTAATATCTACCTCAGCTATATGTTATATGTATTTGCTGGTTAGGGCAATGGTAATATCACTGCCTTAGTACTGGGCAACCCAGGTTTGAAACCTGGTCAAAGTGCCACCATTGTTCTTGGACAAGACAATTAGCAAGGCATATCTGCCTATTTCAAGTCCTCAGTAAGCTCAGTAAGCCTTCTCTACCTATAAATATTCCCTTTCTATAATATTAATGTGCTACAAAATATCTTGGTGCTATTTAAATGTGAATAATTATCTATCTAGCAAAGTAAACACAGATTAGAAATTAGCAATTGAAGTTCGGGAGACAAAAGAACAATTCACTAATGTACTTAAATGCCGGTTTTATTCAGGGATATAAAACCAGCTGACGTTTTGTTTTTATATATAGCCAGGCAACGATTTAACGGCAGGAATATTGTCAAACTTTAACATGGCCTGCATGTGGAGCAACGGCAACTATAACCCATGGTAACATACACAATGTCCCCTTGGAATCAATTTATAAGATAAGTGGTTTGATTGATGGCCATAAAATGGACTAGTTCTCTGAGTGAAGAATTTGTGCCTGTGTGTGTTTGTATTAGGGACAATGTTTGAAGCAGTTTATTGCATGATAAATTATACAAATGTACAAGTTGATGAAGCAAATACTACAAAATCTAAATGATGTGTCAACCTCTTAGAATGCAAGTGTGGTCAACTATGAAACTAATGAATTCAATTATTTTATTAATGTTTAATTATTAAGCAAGATTAGAGTTCTAAAACTCCCCACGGCATATATCAAATGCGAGCTCGGACATCTAAATGTCAGCCCTAACATATGCAGATGCTGTAACCATGGGCGTAGGAACACAATAAATTCCGGGGGCAGGGGGCAAATTTCTAGAAAACAAATTCACCCCTCCTCTTCCCATTAATATTGCATGCATTAAACAGCAAAATCTTAAAAGGCTGAATTTATCTGAGTTGAAAAAATAGTCTGCCGTTCAGTCGTGTTTCATGCTTTTTGTTTTAGTCTAACTTTTGCAGTTAAGTTTTTAATTTGCCATAATTCATTGTTTAATTAACTAAATATTTCATTTGTATGTTCTGTTAGATGTTTCTGCATATTTTTGCATAGTGTATGTGTATAATGCAAGCATAGTGTGTATTCTTAGTGTGGATACAGAATCTTATTTGTGTATCAGGGTAAGTATGTATGTGTTATTTGTTATTGCTATGTGTCATACCTAATACAGAGTATAACATTTACTTTATTTTATATTTCTTGCCCATCTTCCATCTATTAGAAATGCACATATGTTTTTTTTCCTTTAAGGTTCCAACATATATAAAAAATATTGTTTGTCAAAATTTAGCAATAATCGTATTATTGAAAATCAGATTCACTCAGAAACACTAACTGTCGGACCAGTTAAGGAAAGTGCTAGGTTCAGACCCTTTCATTAGGCAATATTTTTTTTGCACAACTGTTCCACTCTTCTTATATTTATAACATACATGAAAGCTACCAATATATTCTTGTAGACATGTCTTATCCCTACAAAGCAGTTTTATAATAGCCTACCATTTATTTCAATCGAAATAGAAATGTACTTAAATTATGTCTCATGAACAATATAATATAACTTGGCCCTCTATTAAAATTTTTCTGTTCTCACATAAACTGTTTCAAAAGAGCCAAATGCTAAAACCATGACATACTTTGACAGATATTCAAAATGGGTTTCAATCATTCTTGTAAGAAATTGACATTTATACTAAGTAGTTTCTCTCATAGACAAAAAGTCAAAAAGATTATCTAAGTCAAGCAAATGTCACATCATATTGTTAAAATTTAGAAAATCAAAAAAAAAAAAAAAAAGAAATGGAAAGAAAAGTGAGCCATAAGTGGAAAAGTAAAAAAAATAATAATAACTTTATAAACTCTATAATCATAGTACTAGTTTCTGATCCATTTTATAATCCTCATATCGTCTCTCTTTAATTATCCCATAATTTTTATTTTCTTCTTTTGGTCTCCAGCATATGCTGCACATATTTAATTGTCACATAATCTAAATCTTACACCGTATTGTTCAGTGCTTAAAAGACTGATTGACTAAATTATGGTTTATATTATTTGTGAGCAAAAAAACAAAAAACAAAACACAATTCACAAAATAAATAAAGGAAATAAGAAAACAGAAAACAAATACCTATAACTTTTCCTTTTTTGGTCGATTTACATTTCTATTGATGGCTAGACAACTGGGTCAGAGCATCTCCATATTGTAAGTCTTGTGGTATGTTCCTAGAATGCAGTGGGTAGTACGTACCAAAAGTAGTTAGCATTAGGGTCATGGCTTTAGAGACAATGAAGCAGCATTAGGGTCATGGCTCACCAATCATGTGAGGAGCAAAGGCTAGCCCGTCTGGTCCAATCACAAAGAAGAGCCACTGTATCTCAAATTGCTGAAAAATATAATGCTGGCCATGAGATAAAGGTGTCAGAACACACAGTACATTGCAATTTGCTGCATATGGGGCTGCGTAGTTGCAGACCAGTCAGAGTGCTCATGATGACCACTGTCCACCATTGAAAGTTTCTTCAATGGGTATGTGAGCTCCAGAACTGGACCATGGAGCAATTGGAAGACGGTTGACTTGTTTTATGAATCCCGTTTTCTTTTAGATCAGGCGGATGGCAGGGTGTTTGTGCATTGTTTACCTAGGAAAGAGATGACAGCAGGATATAGTATGGGAAGAAGGCAGGCCAGCAGAGGCAGTTGTATGCTCATGGCAATGATCTGCTGGCAAATCTTGGGCCCTGGCATGCATGAGGATGTTACTTTGACACATACCACCTTCCTAGAGATTGTTGCAGACCTAGTACACCCTTTCATGACAGTAGTGTTCCCAAATGACAGTGTCCTCTTTCAGCAGGATAATGCATTCTGCCACAATGCAAAAATTGTTCAGGAATGGTTTAAGTAACATGACAAAAAGATGACAAATTGTTGTCTTGGCCTTCAAATTTCAATCCGACAGAGCATCTGTGGGATGTGCTGGAACAAGAAATCTGATTCATGGGGGCCCCACCTAACAACTTGCAGGACTTAAAGGATCCAAGGTGTTACTTAATTTTGGAGCGCTCAAATTTATATGATACTATCGCTGCTAGATTTAAATTGTTATATTCCACGTTTAATACTTTCACAACTGCTGCTAACACACTTATGTGCTGTACCCCAACACACAATAAAAATGAAAATCAAAGTGTTAATAAGTGGAGCAGTGAAATGACAGAAAACCTTTAATAGTGGTATTAGCATTTATATATCATGCTGATACATCATAAGGCTCACTTATGTTGAGCTCTAAAACGTATATACTGCGAAGTTATATGTTAACACAGTCTATACTATTATCTGTATTTTGTTTGTTTTCCTATATATGTGATGAGAATCCTATGCTGGTAACACTTGCTGATCTATAAGTATAAGCAACACCTAGCTATTCCATCTTTATTTGGGTCTCCTCACCTAAACACTGTTGTCATAATCTTGAGCAGGTCAGGTAGGAGACTATTGCCAGGGTTAACATCAGGATCTTTATTGCTGGATTTGGACATTGTAGAATAAACAGTATATCCGATAACTGAAATTATAGGAAAGAGAGAGCAAACAGATCTGAATAACTGAAATTACAGGTAAGGATAACTAGGTTATGAAAATAAAGGGTTTAGACAAAAAATGCAATAAGGTAAGAGGTAAAACTATAAATT